CATCATTTGTGGGAAATGCAAGTAAAAAAAAATCTACAACCACTGTATAAGATGCACCCAAGTTTTTAGACCCCAAACTTTTCGAAAAAGGGTGCGTCTTATACATGGGGGAATACAGTATACCGATATCAAGGTGAACCCAAGTCACGTTTGACTTCTGCAATTACCACCAGCATCCAGACACTTCTGATTACAGCGAACTACTGCTTGAGCAACATTGACCACAGTGTCCACTTGTATACATTTTTTTGGCACCCCTGGTACATGTGGTCTTCATCCCCTGCTCTCCTCTCAGCTCTCTTCTCCCTCTGCATTCAAGGCAAGTTTAAAAGTCTGCTTTTTGTGAGACATATGACTGTCTCCACCACCACCACTACCACCACCTCAGATGACAAGGGGTCTTTAAAGAAAAGAACATATTAACATTTGTCCCATGTTATGTGTGGCATATTTGAGAAGTGGTCTGTGTTTTTCTCTCTCTGCTCTCTTGTCTACTCTATACTTGGTTCCACTACATAGTATTAAGGATACAGATTTGTAATGAAGTTCTGTAAATGCTGCACCTCCTATTGGATTCAATTATGTTTGTATTACTCAAAGCCTCTAACATGGTGTGACGATGATGATGATGATGACAATAATCATCATAATAAAATATCTCTTATTGAGCGCTTCATATGCTAGTCACACTGTTAAGCACCTTATAGATATCAAAACTCTGTGCATCATAGATATTTCTTGAATGCTTCATGCTGGCCCATATGGAACAAAGCACAGTTGCTTTTTCACTGCTTATGGGAACCATCCCAGCAGAGAATCTGAAGTCACTGCCAGTGGTGGGATTGTGCAGCTATGGGCAAGGTAGCAGCTGGGAAACAGTTAATGCCAAACCCATACTGAGGTATTTGGGCCCTTGGATTGCATCCTGGTTCTCCATTTAGCAACTGAGCAGCTTTGGCAACTTAATCAAACTGTTTGTGCTTTAGGTTCTTCATCTGACTAAGAGATGCTAATTCATCTAGGTAAAATGAGACAATATTTAAAGTATCTAGGACAGCATTGGATATATAACAGGGGCTAAATAAATAGTAGCTGTTCTTATTAGTATTCTGTGTAAGGCACAGTGCTAGGTACCATGAAGTACAAAGACCAGAAGTAAACAGGTTAGGGTGTGGATCTCATCCACCCCAAAGGGAGAGGTCTGAACCCACATGCTCAGTGACGGTCCCTTTTAGTTCTAGGCTGTGATTCTGTACTTTGAAGATGGCATTTAGCAGCCCACAACCATATGCCCTCGCCACATGGCCGTAATTCAGGTCAGATAGTTGCTCAGTTTAGAGTTACCAAAGCCTAGGTATTAGGGATCGACACGTTTAAAAAGAATCACAGGTAGGGAATGGCCCAACCCTGCAGCCTTGGTTTCGAAACTTAGGACTTGCTGTTGCCATTTGTATTTTCATTGGGAGAAAACCTCTAATTCAGCCTGAAGCTGCTCTCATTAGTCATTGAAAGGTGCAGTATGATTTTGACTAGAAGCTGGACTAGAGGCTCCGTGCAGGTTTGGGAGCAGTTACACTCTTGTGGTTTGACTAACCTTTCTTATGAGTGTGTTACTAAAGAAACGTGAGCTGTTGGCTTTTCAATTACTGTAGCTTACCCATTCTGAGTTTCATACACATTGAGTCATCGTGTCTACAGGTGACTGATAATCATCTGCACGACTCAAGTTACCGTAACTCGGAGATGAGGGGATCTGATGACTGCAGGGTGCGTGCACGTGAAGATCTTAGGCTCTCCCATCTTCTTAACAATGAACAATGGTCTGCGTTAACCGCAGAACTCAGTCACATATTTCCACTCATCCAGAGGTTCTTTTTCCTCTTAATGTTTTGCCTCTTACAACTTTAGCACTCAGCTGTTTTCTGACATAGGCTGCAGGTGGTATGGGTTGTGAAATGTTAGGCCTTGTTAAGCAAAGCCATCTTCTGGGAGAAAGGATTAAGGCAGAGTTTGTGATGTGCCTGCCCCACCCCGGAAACTTTCTGGAGCTTCATTGTTAGGTGAAAAGATGAAAACATTCTCAAGAACGCCTGGTATATGAGGAGTCGAGTAGAGCTGGCCACGCTGGAACATCATCAATAACCCTGAAAAGGCCACGAAACCAAAGTTCATCACTTCTTTGTGACTCTTAGGGGAATGGATATTTGTAACCCTTAGCCACCTTTCCTCTTCTCAGGCTCATTCTCCCAAACAGCCTTATCAAAGATACATCCAATCTGGAAGTTAAAAATAAGAACCATTGGTTACTTTGGCAAAGGTCTACTTTTCTGTTGCTTTTTATTGCGTTGCCAAGGCAGGATGTTTTGCTTTGCGTATGTTTTCTCTCAGGTATTTGTCTAGAAACTACCAGGTTGGCCTTGAGGTAGTAGGGATGCAGGACAAATGCGTCTGATTAGATTAGATCTGTTAGCTGGTCTTTCTGGCTGCAGTTTCTTGCTGTTCCGGTCCATCTTACACATTGCTGTTACATGAATATCCTGAAAATAACATTTTGACCACAAGCCTCCCTTGCTCAAGGCCATGTGATTGTTTGCACTTTGTTCAAATCCAAACCCTATGGTTGGCCATTCAGAATGTCCATCATTTGGTACCGCCAAGTGTTTTCTTTTTTCAATATCTCCCAAAATGTGGGATGCAGGAGGCCCAGAGGGCATTTAAAAACCTTGATCCACATGGCAAGAAAATTATTTTCTTTTTAGCTCTCTTTCAGTCTCCCTGATTATACCAAAGAGAAAGATTTAGATTTAATTTGATGCTAGCTGTCTTTACCACTAATCTACCATTTGGGAATCCCTGTTTTGAACAAAGAGGGAGGGGATCTTTGTCTCCAAGTGCACACAGTAATGTCTGATCAAAATGGAATCGATTGCTCTGTTTCATCATCTTGATTTTACCTTCTATTTGTGGCAAGTGATTCTGGTTTTCCATTTATGTTAGTGATACAAAGTTTCCTTAAAAAACATTTATTTTAACAAAAGAAAGAGAAAAAAGAAAGAAAGAAAGAAAGAGGGAAAGAAACAGCGAATGGATTCAAACAAAACAAAAACCCCTGATGTTTACCTAGTGCTTTCTGTGTGCCAGGCACTGTTCTAAGCGCGGACCAGTGACCTGTGAGGTAGATACCATTATTATCCCCATTTTACAGGAGGACATGGAGCCATAGACAAATAACTGGCCCAAGGTCATGCAGCTAGTAACTGATGAGCCAGCATCAAATCTAGTCCATCTGACTCTAGAGCTCATGCTGTCAGTCACCACCCTGGTGTGTGAACACTGCAGAATGTGAAGGAATAAGTGAAGCTTGAAAAATACTTTCTTTCATACTCCTTGATATTAGCTATAGCCAGACTCTTAGTCTTCCCTGCTCATGTCCTGTCTAGTCCCACTTCTCTGCCTTCATTCATGCTCCTCCCTCAATTAGGACATCTCCTCTACCTCTCTGAAAATCCAAATCCTACCATTTCAAGATCCTGCTCAAAATTTAGGTTTTGCAAGAATACTTTCCCTTCCCCAAGTACTCCTGATTTTTTTGCATTCTCTTAACACTTAAATATACAATTTGTACCAAACTGCCTTGCCCTTGCCTCGTAATTCTTTTTATAGAAGACATATTACTCCCCTGCTGACATGCCTCAAACATGGCATTTGGAATATAATCAAAGGCCTCCATATGGCAAGGCCACCCTTTCACAGCTTTTAACATGTATTTTTCTCCAGTTCCATATATACAGGCCTTATTTCTCTCCCACTAGGTTGGAGACACCTCAGGAAAAGGAACTGGTTCTCCCAATCCTTTTGTTTTCTTGTGGGTTTTCATTACTGGACCCTGTACTGTATGGCAGGGACAAATTTTGGAACCACCGTGTGCCTAGGACATGTTAGAGAAAAGAGGAGAGGTATAGCTCAGCAAATCTTTCTAGAATCCAGCACCTACAGAATGAAAACGCGTCAGCAATAACCTTAGCCTCACTTGCAGCTCTTGACATAGCTTTCCCGCTTTCTCTTCCCTCTACCAGCCACTCACCACTGAGCACATCTGCCCTCACTTGCAGACCCTGCTCCTGCTTTCCCTGTGGCCAGAGAGCCTCTGTTTTCTAACACACAACGCCCACACGCCCTGAAGGTGGCTAAACTCTGTTTTCAAAATTTCTCAGCAGTTTGACATGCGAAATAGGAGAGGGTGACCACAAATAAATGTTTCAGTTAAGTGTGAGATAGGTCCTAATGATCGCATATGTATCAATGATACATTTTTTTTTCAAGCAAAAGAATAACACACTTTATGAAAGGGACAAAGATCATGTTCTTTCATCAAGAAAGCTTTTCTAAAACTTTCTACATTTGAAGCTCTTTTACTTAAATCTCAGTCTGGTGACCAATGTGTTTGGGGAGTGGCAAGGGCAGGGAGTGGGGAGTTTCTGGAGCTATTTTTTCTACCCCTGTAGCTATTTAAAAAGCCGCTGAGGCTCGTCACTGAACATCCCCACTTTCTGCAGTACTTCCGTCCCCCTGGCTCCTTTGTATGACAAGCAGAAAATAACAAGCAAAATAAGAGTTTGGGAAATGACTGTGTCTTAAGCGTTCTCGCACAGGGGAAGTGCAGAAGCCCCGATGCTCCTGCACAGGGAGCCCCCTTGAGCCCCCATCTTCCTGTTCTCTTGCTTCCTTTTCCCCAGAGTTCCCCTCTGACAGGAGCAGTGGAAACAACTCACATGGTGGCTTCAGCTTAATGACATCTCTGACTCTTCCTTTTGCCTGCTGGCTTAATTTATTCTGACTGCCCAAATGTGTGCTGTCAACCGCTGTCCCCTGAGACTTCAGCACCGCATGGAACCATTCTGCTGGACTGGGTGTCCTTGAACATGATTCCGAAAAACAATTTTACAAACACTCTGCCTGCGTATTTTTCCTTTTGTAACTCACTCTGTCATTTGTTCTAGGTGAAAAGCGCCACTGCTTTGACGTCAACTATACTCCCAGCTATATGTACGAGAAAGAGAGTGAGATAATACAGACCCGAATGATGGACCAAGCCATCAATAATGCCATCAGCTATCTTGGTGCTGAGGCCCTGCGCCCGTTAGTCCAGACACCCCCTGCTCCCACCTCAGAGATGGTTCCAGTTATCAGCAGCATGTATCCCATAGCCCTCACCCGTGCTGAGATGCCGAATGGTGCGCCCCAGGACCTGGAAAAGAAGAACATCCACCTGCCAGAGAAGAGCCTGCCTTCTGAAAGAGGCCTCTCCCCCAACAACAGTGGCCATGACTCCACGGACACTGACAGCAACCATGAAGAACGCCAGAATCACATGTACCAGCAAAATCATATGGTCCCTCCACGGGTCCGCAATGGAATGCCGCTGCTGAAGGAGGTCCCCCGTGCCTATGAACTCCTCAAGCCCCCACCCATCTGCCCACGAGACTCCATCAAAGTGATCAACAAAGAAGGGGAGATGATGGATGTGTATCGGTGTGACCACTGCCGAGTCCTCTTCCTGGATTATGTGATGTTCACTATTCACATGGGCTGCCATGGCTTCCGTGATCCCTTTGAGTGTAACATGTGTGGGTATCGAAGCCATGACCGGTATGAGTTCTCGTCTCACATAGCCAGAGGAGAGCACAGAGCCACACTGAAGTGAACATCTGGCCCCAGAGATGATTTGCACCTAGCATTCAACATCGCTTTTAAAAACTGATACCCCCGCCTAACAAGTCACTCTCAAAACAAACTCAGTTCCAAACTCCTTTCCATACCATGTTTAGTACCCAAAGGCTCATGTTCATGTGGACAACAGAAAAACTCAGACTCCATTCAACAGTTGCTTGCAGATATACCATGTTACTACTTTGTGCAACCTTTGTTTTCCCATCAGGAACTTGAATTTTGTGATATTTTAAAAAGCCAATGAAGTATTTGGTCATTGTCTTTTGCATCAATAGAACAGGCTTTCTTTGGAGTTTGTTGTCAGTCGAAAGAGCCCCCCTGTTGTGCTGCATGAGACATTCTTTCTGAGATACGTTAGCCAGCCATACATGCAAAAGCCTTCTGGTTGTAAGCCCAGGTCCACAGAGAAGAGCTGACCAGCTGAAATTGTTGGGAAGCCTCACCCTTCTGTACTTAACACAAGGCTGAAGGGTTAGGATATAATCTCCCCATCCCAATTAGAGTCTAATAGTAAGGAAAAGAATAGCCATAAAATAAGTGCCTGTTACCAATGACTGAAGACCTAATCACTGAGCATCAGATCCATTTCTTATTACATAAACAAAAACAAAACAAAAAAAGAAAGAAATCATCTGATGATGCTTCTGCTTCTACTCTTTACCCTCCCATCTCCAATTAAAAGCTGCTTTGGGTTGAACCGGTTATCTACAGAAGAAATTCTATACCAGAACTGATGGTTTTAAATATAGACCGTCATTGAAACTCCAGGAAGTTATCCACTGTGGGTGACAGCATCCATTTCCTGTGATCAAGATTGGCAGAGCTGAGTTCTGAGTGGGAAGATGGTTTAGCAGCACCACCAGGGGAGAGAAAAAAAAAACACTGCTGAAAGTCCTTGGTCTCTTTCATGGAATATTAGTAAAGACCCAAAGCAAACTTGCCATTGATGTCTTTGACAAAAAAATACCAAAGAACCCCAAAAGTATGACTTAGTCACCCCCTCCCTACAGAGAGGACAACTCAGGGATAGACGCCATGAGTGTTATTTAGATCAGAGCTGAGCTTCATGATGGGGTAAGGAGGGGAACAGCTCTGCTGGCAGGCTCTTCTTCATCAGGCAGGTTGGGCTCCCCCTTATCCCCTTTTGAAATGGAGCTGCTGTATTCCACTAAGATTCCTGAAAGTCTGATCTTGGTTCTGCAGATGGATTGGTCATCTCTATCTTTAACTATGGGAGGCACGCTATCAAGGAAAAGCGCTGTGATCACTGTAAAATTAACACTGTAATAGGGGTCACAAAATCTGTTTGTTAATTCCACATTTGCCCTAAGCAGCTGTATGACTTTGGGCAAATCACTTAACTCTTTTTTTTAATTAAATTTATTGGGGTGGCAATGGTTAGTAAAGTTACATAGGTTTCAAGTGTACGTTCCTGTAATACATCATCTATATATCACATTGTGTGTTCACCACCCAGAGTCAGTTCTCCTTCCATCACCATGTATTTGACCCCCTTTACTCTCTTCTACCACTCCCCTCCCCCCTTACCCTCTGGTAACCACTAAACTGTTGTCTGTGTTTATGAGTTTTTGTTTGTTTGTTTGTCTTGTTCCTTTGTTGCTTTCAGTTTTATGTCCCACATATAAGTGAGGTCATATTGTTCTCGACTTTCTCTGACTTATTTCGTTTAGCATGATGATCTCAAAATCCATCCATGTTGTCACAAATGGCAGTATTTCATCTTTTCTTATGGCAGAATGGTATTCCATTGAAATCACTTAACTCTTAAAACTAAGTTTCCTTTACCGTTGCATAAGAGTTGGATTTAGACGTTCTCTAAGCTTTACATATATGTGATTATGCAGTAACCAGTTATTTTTTTAAAGCTCTTAATGTATTGGTGGGTATTTAATACCCACCAATGTTTGAAACAGTAAGTGTTTATGCAGCATTAAGTTTAAGCAGAAGCGTCTGTGTATGAATATGTGTTTCACATGTCTTTGGTGTGAAAATGGTAGTGTTAAGTTTTTCCTTTAACCACTGAGTTGTGAATGTGAAGAGGATGGTGGGGAGGAACAAAAAACAGGAAGATATTTTGATCTTGCCCCAAAGTGTACACACAAACTGGCACCTGCAGCTGCTTGCCAAAACCTTCTCTTTTTTTTCTTTTTTTTTTTTTTTCCTTTTTAAGAACTTGTGTTAGGGAAAATAAATTCTGCTTCCAGGGACAACTTCATGGAGCCTATTTACAAATTAAGAGTCAGCTTCATGAACATTTCTACCAGAGCCAAGAATCCCAAATTCCTGGTAGATTTGCATTTTATGTATCTGCCTTGATATTTCAAAAGGGTTTATGCATTAGGCTCAAACTCAACTCGTTTATGCACTGGCAGTAATTAAAATGTCCCACCTCAGACTGCACAAATGGCTCATCCCTCTTTGTGCTATGGTGTCTGTCTCAGGAAAAAAGATTTTGTGAAATTCCATGGCAACAGTCCCAACATGTTGGAGATTTCGGCTAAAAGACTAGATGTATTTCTGTGTGTAGTGTTCACTCTATCACTGTGTTTACATAATCCTAGACTCCAAGCTGTGCCAGGTTGCTTACACCCATTGTGAAAGAGGAGCTGCCTAATAAATTCTTGAAATATCACACATCCTGTTGACTATTCAGGGAACAAAAGAAAGAGAATTTGGAAGCAAGGATTAGAAGGAGAGGAAGCTAGGGAAAGCGAGAATTTCCACCAGATTAGTGGGAAAGTCTCTGCTGAAAACACCAACTTCTGCACCTTAAGGTAGTGAAACTCAGGCCCATCCCACCCACTTGGGAACGCTTTTTGTTGGTATGACCCTCATTTTCCCTGTGACTAATGGGTTTTCTGAATGATTTCCAAAGGTTGTACTTTCACTATGGCATTCTGAGCCTAGATGGGGGCACATCAAGTCCAGAGAAAATGTATATGTGGAAACTCCACCTTCTTAAATCTTAAAAGTGGAACCCGGTGGTATGTAACGGTTACCACCACACAAGTAAACACTTTCTTCTGTAGGCACTCCTTATACTAATTAATGACCCTCCAGCCTCCCTCTGCTGGGGGTGGGGGAAGAGGGTGAAGGAGAATGTTAGCAAGATGCTTACAGAAAAGGGCGGGTTGGGACTCACGTCTGACCAACCGCGTTGGACAGTGAAGTCTTGCAGTGGCTTCAGGCAGCACATTTGCTTTCTGAGCCAGAGTCCCTCTGAACATGACCCTTGTAGGTCTCTCTCCTCCATTGTAAGGCAGGCCTCCCACCACACACTCAGGAGGCCACAATCTGAGAAACACCCCACCCCATGAAAAGTTCCCTTGGAGTGAAGGTGACAGAATGGGGGTGAGGGTGGAACAGGAAGAGAACTGGCTCTCCAGAGGTTCCTTACCACCATTTGAAGTGTTGCAAGGGTATTTCCTCCTGGCAGAGAACTAAATAGACGTGTTCTCCCCATTACCCTCCACCACTCCCACCAGGAAAAATAAATAAATAAATCTAGCACTTTCTAGATTCCTTAAGGCACTCTCCCAAAAAGATATTTGCCTGGATACAGATAAGCTAGCTAATCTTACGCTTTGTTACCTCTGAGCTGTTCCTGACTCAGCTTCTGACTTTGTCAGTGACAAAAATCTCTCACCTTTTAAATGCAGCTCTCTGACATTTTGCTAGGCCCATACAGTGGCCCAGATATAAAAACACCTCAGATTTCTTTTGCAAAGAGAAATGTTTAAGAACACAAAATTTTACTCAGTTGAAACACTGTGTTATTGACAAAGCTCAGGTCAACATAAAGTTTTCCCTAGTAGATTCTGTATCATGATTTTTATTCTCCTCCTCTGCTAAATATAAGGTTTAGAATATTTTAAGGGAAAAAGCAGTACTTCCCATATATATCCCAGGACGAGCAGTCAGACTGTAATGGAAATGTTAAATGTTTAAAGTCCTAACTTTAAAGTGTACCCCACTGAGAGCAGGTATGTATGCTGGTCTCTAGTGGAGATTTGGAAACTCAGAGACACTCAAGATTTGAGCCCTCAGAGATGTCTGAGCTCTTGCACCAAGACTCAGAATTTGGACTCGTGCGCTCAAGAAGGGTCAAGAATGTGGAGTGATGAAAAGTTTGTCCTAGAAAACAGCATCAGGCTGTGAAGAAGAAGATGAGAGGTATAGAGTGATATCTCTTACCTTGTAAAGAGTTGGGAGCTATGTTTGTGCTCAGACAGAAAGTATCGTTCAGAGACTCTGTAGGCAGAGTTCAGAAAAGCAGAATGATTGGGGATGTAAGTGCCTCTAAAGAGGACAAAGGCTAGACCTGGGCCACCTGAGGAAAAGGACGCCATTCTCTAAGGCTAAAGACTGAACGGTTCTGAGAAGGATCAGTGAACCCAGAGCTGGGGACTGCTGCCTCTAAGGACTGTGGGCTCAGAAGAGCTCAACGAGAGCTGCAGGCTTTAAGCTTATGTGAGCTCATCCCCCAAGACTGTACCTCTGTTTACCCAAGCTGTATATAGTCTATACCTCACCGTGCTCTCAATATGATAAACAGATCTTTGTATTTTAAAGAAGCTGAATGCAAGTTTCCTCTCAATATTATAATAGCGGTCTGTCTTATACATTGATATTGAGTTGTTATTTGAAACTGGAATGTTAATATTTTGATTAAAAAATGTAAGGTCATAACAAATATCTACCTCCCAAGGACGTTGTGAGGTTTTATGTAATTTTGTCTATGGGGTAATATTACTTTTTTTTTGAGGGGTCGGGCAGATTCTGTTGGATGATTGCAAATTTTCCATTCTATATACTGCATCTGGATTTAAAGACATGGAAAATATTCAAAGACGATACCAGGACCATAATCGTATTATTAATTCAGTAGCCAGTGGAGGCAACTGGTCTGTAACACAGTTTCCTTCGTGTTGTTTTAATGGGTAAGAGTAAAGAATATACTGAACCTTAAAACCAATGTGAGTTAACCACAGGCTATAGGTACCTCACAGCATTGCAGCCAGGGGAGTAGAATAGCTTTCCTCCCTCACCATTTTATGAGCCCTCAGTCATTAATTCCCCAAGCAACTTAGTTTCCCCAAATGGTCCTCACTGTCCATCTCCCCATTGACCCATTCTAGAAAGCCTGGGGAGCAGTCCCATAAGCCCACCCACCTCCTTCCAAGTCCATACCCCTCATCTGTGGGGCCTGTTTCATATTCTGAATGTAAATGCAGCTTTGCTTCTTCCTCTCCTAAAAAAAGACAGAACAGACATTTTAACATGTTAGGAAAATGGGGCAGCCTTAAAAATGACTGATCCCATTGCCAGTGACTCATTTATACAAGGACTCTTCCAGGTTAGCAGACAAGGCCCTTTTTGGTGGGTCTGCTTCTGTGGGTTCACAGAAACCAAACTACTGTGGGTTGCAAAGAATTAGCAGGTCATTTGAAAAGCAGACATCCCTTCACCCAGACTGTGGTTTTGCATGCTCAGGTTCTCAGTCTGTGTGAGCTTTGGTGAGGGATCATTTTGGCTGCTGGAAAAACCATAGCTGAATTTTAATTTTTGGTTGCCAAAGCCACCACACGTGTGGTCTGTGGATGACCCTTGTCTGCAGAATGACGGGTGAGGAAGGGAATGCGGTTTGGGGCTCAGGGCGGCCTTTCCACTAGGAGTGAGGGAGGGAGACTTTGCCGAGAAGTTTTGACACAGCCTGTGCTCGCAGCATTCTCATCTGGGTTTCTCAGAAATGCCCTCCCCACCCAGCAGTGACCTTCCCTCTTGACTCACCTCGAGTTTTACCTGGACTCCAACCATTTGGAGCACTGTAAGGTGCCCTACCCTCCATAAAGAGTGTTTAAAGAGTCTGCTTCTAAAATGTAGCAATGCTAACTAACCCTTCCAGAACCATGATGAGTGCATCCTCGCATCAAAAACAACCCTGCTGATAATTTTCAAGGCTTCTTTATCGTGTTTGATTTTTTACACTGAAAATAAAAACTATGTATACTGGTGTGTTTAAAATTAGTCATTGTGCATGCCTATCATTTTATAGTTGCTGCTGTCAGAAAACGGAAGGGTTCAATTTTGCCTCTAGGGATATTTCTTAATTTAGCCCCTCTGGCTATTGCTTAAAGTCCAAGTACCAAGATAAGCGGAATTATCACTGAAAGAAAGCATCTCCCAGACCAGCCGAGTGGCTCAGTTGCTTAAGAGTTGGCTTAAGAGCACGAGCTCTGAGCAGCAGGGCTGCCGGTTGGGTTCCCACATGAGCCAGTGATGCTGCGCCCGAGCTGAGCTGTCGCTGAGCTTCCAACAGGTGGCAGGATGGCTCAGCTGGTGTAACAATAAGATTTGCCTGTTCCATGGTGAGCTACGCCCACCC